AAAAATATCAGAAATACTAGAACATCGAGAAAACAAACCATATTTTCAAGAATATCTTAAAAAAATTGATAATCAAGAACATCAAGAAGACAAAAAATCTTTACAAGCATTTATTAACAAAATTGATAATCAACTTGTCAATTTTAAATTTTTTGATGAAAAGGCCTTGAAAATCAGTAATTTTTTTAATTATATGATCAATTCAGCATTTGTGATTCTTTCTGGTTTAGCTAATTTAAAAGCTGAAATCTTTTTGTTGATTGAGTCATTGAATGATATTGATTTAGAAAATACTCATCAGGAGGAAATTAACTTATCACTTGATAAAACTGATGAATATTTACATAAATGGGCTAATTATTGTACTAATATTACCGACCAATTTAAAGAAATTCATGAAGATCATAATAATCTCATTAAGAATATAGAAGATAGCCTCTTTTTTTTTGCAATTCAAGAAGAGATATTAGATAAAATTCCTGATATTAAAGTAAAAATACTTTATAATTCTCAAGAACTTGATAAGCCGAAAGTAGCAAGATTATTAACAAGCTCTAAAGAGGTAAATAACTAATATTTAATCTTTAATAATACTATTATATACTTACACCTTTTTACTCTAGTTAAAAAAAGAAGTATATTTAAACTTCTTTTTCATCATCGGGCTAAAATTAGTATATGATTTAACTTCTGAATTAGAAAATACAACAAGTAGATTAAAACTTTTGGATCTTGAGGCAATTCAAAAAATATTAGGTTCATATTGCTATTTTACTTTCATAAAATATTAAATTAATTATTAATATAATTTAACTTTATTATGCTACAGAAGTTTGGAAAACTCTTTCTAAAGAATTAAGCAAAGGATTAGAATTAGTAAAAAATTTCAAAAGCAGCGAATTATATGTTAAAGAATGGTATCTTGATTATGTTGTAGAAAATTTGATAAACATAGGTCATTTAGTTAATAACTTTTGCAGACAAATTGTATTTGAAAGATGCTTAAACATTTAGTTAATTTTAAAGAAAATAAGACTGATATATAAATTCATTATTTAAATAAATTTTGTGATAAAAAGTTATATAATACAAGTGGAGCGCCGCTGACGCCCCGTACAGACTAAATTTAATTTTATAATAAAAATCATTCAATAAATTGTAATACTGATACATTATTCCAATTGTTATTAACAGTTTAATGTCAATTAAATGAATAAACACAAATACTATAAAAGAGATAATATTTTAAGTGATCACATACACAACCAATGCGGATTAATGAGAGATGAATAACCTTAGACACTTTCTTTAATAAATGATAGTAATAATAAAAACTAATTCAATATATAAGTTCGAGTAGCTTATATTAAATAATAATTAATGCTCAACTATGCTCAATTGATGATCAATTGTTATACTCATCTATAAATCAATACAAAAAGAAGTTAATTGTGAAAGAAATAATCCTTAAAAATTTTGATTGATAAGTAGATCAAATATATAGATAATTAGTATATCTACAGACTATATCAGCACAAATAAGAGAAGCGAGTAGCTTAAATATTTTTATCAATAAATAACCATTGTGCTCACATACTAAATAAAGCGTAAATAACAAGAAATACAATAAAGCATGGATAAATTATCATCGAAAATTTTTCACAAAATTTGCTATATTCCAGGTACACATAAGGTTGAGTTAGTTTACATCGGAGTTATCACTAATTATATCATAGTTACTGTAAATGATTCTGTTACACACTTACTTACTGTGCCAGTAATATATAGTATGTTATTAAGAAGATTGCATAATAATTATGAGTTATCGTAAAAAATTTGCTTCAGAACTTATATTATTCTTTTTGATTTAGTTTAATTTGATCAATTTATAATTTTTCTTTTTTATGAGCTCCATAAATCCTACGGTTACAATATATGTAATAATAATCAATTAAAATGCCAAAAAAGTAATAAAATTAGCTCTGAAAATATAACGATTTAGATGATTGCCTATATTTGAGTTACAGTAGAAATATTCTTATAAACCTTGCTATTCCAGTGAGCGTAGTATGTGGTTAAGATCGTGTGAGTTTGCATTAGAATTTTCGTGAAACCTATTCGCTATTCCGTGATTAAGATTAGTTCGTACTGATTTCTATGTGTTAAGTTAGTTTGCGTTAGAGATATGCGTGTTACTGTAAGAATTTTGTTATAGAGCTTGCTATTTCGGTGACTACAGTATGTGATTGAGTTAGTTTGCATTAAAATTATTATATTAGAACTATAATAATTTCTACTGAGATACTGTAAAAATTTCTGCTACAGAACTTTTCTGGTGACCAAAAGTTACCATTCCAGTTAATTCACAGTATGTGGTTCCTTAACGCATGTAATTAACATTATCCATATTCTAATTAAATAATATAACTTATGCGAGCAAAAATCGTAAATAGATGATAATCTAGTTATAATATTATCGCGCAAGAGACTGTGAATGTCAGTTAAAATGTAACCGGTTGTTTTTGCATTTTTAATTTGCAATTTTTTATATATAAATTATTAATTCATAAATTGATTACGAATTTATGACGATTATACGTATTACTGTTACGCATCATTTTTGTAATTTGTCGTTATGAATTGATGACTGTTATTTTTTTTAATCTCCACCGATTGAAAGTAGCTCAGGTCAAGCATGAGGTATTTTATATATATTTAGGTACTAAACAAGGTTATTTAGTACATTAAGCTAGAATCAATTAGTAAAATTTTGTGAATCATAAGATTTTATAGAATTTTATTAAGTTTATAAAATCTTATAATTCACAAATTTTTACTAATTAATTCTAACTTTATACATTAAGTAAACCTGTTTAGCACTAAAAAAATATATCAAATGGTATGATTATTTTTATTTTATTTAAAATTTAAAGAATAAATAAACAATTTTGGATTTTTGATCAAAAAAGCTAAATTTAAACTTCTTTTCTCTAACTTTCAAGTAAAATAAAAGAAACTCTGCTGATTTGATATATTTTAGGTGCTAACCAGATTTCTTAATACTAGGGTTTTTAGGTTTATTTCAGTTCAGTTCAGTTTCAATGAACCTGAACCTGAATATGAACATGAACTACAAATTTTGCAGACCATTGAACCTGAGCTTGAACTGAACTTTGAATTTATAAACCTGAACTAAACCTGAACTTAAAGTTTTGGTTCAGTTCAAGTTCAGTTCAAGGTTCATGAACATGTTGAGGTTCAGTAGTTTAGTAACAAAATGTAGTAAAAATTTTTTTTGTCTTTAAATTTTCAAATTTGGAGTTTTTTAAAGAAATTTTTTTCTTTACTAAGTAAACCTATTTTAAATTTCTAAAAAATGTTTTAGAGGAATGTCTTGCGATCAGAATGGCAGTTAAAACATTAAAATCGACCTAGTAGATTATGAGATATAAATATTTTAGTCTCATAACTATATATTTTCTTCTCTAAAGAAGAAACAAATAGTCATCAAGACAAAAATACTTAAATCTCATGATTTTCTAGACCGATTTTAATGATTTAACCAAAATTTGAATGCAAGACACTCCTCAACAACTTTAATTAAAAGTTAGAGATTTACTTTTCAAAAATTTAAGAGCAATAACTTTTTGCATGATTTTATTAATAAAATTATAATCCTTAAAATTTTACCAATTAATTATATATTTATGTTCTAAGTAAACTTGTTATGCATATAAAACTATACAATATCAGCTTATGTTTATATTATAATTTTAAATTTTAAGAAAAATATTCTTAATTTTAAAATTTTTAATCAAAAATTCAAAATTAGGCTATACAAAATAAATTTTTTGGTTTTTATAACATAAGAATGAACCAGATAACCAGGTAACCCAGAATTTTTTTTTAATCAAAAACTTTTTTTTTTATTTATATAATGTTATAGTAGAAACTTTATTACAATAAACCTATATTAATCTAAAGATTAATAGTTTTCCTGTTACTAAAAAGACTTGGGTAAGGGGGTACAGTAGATTCTCGCAAAAGTTACATTTGAAATAGTCACAATTTCACTATAATCACCTTAATTTTTTGTTTTTATAATATATTTTATATTAAATTTTTACCTATATTAGTCACAATTTCAAATAAGCACATAAATCATCTGATTTTAGTATGTGACTATTGTGAGAATCTACTGTAGATAAGTCACCTTACCAGGCTGCCAAATTCCTTCAACTCAGTACTAGCTAAAAATTAGAAAATATAGTTTTAGAAAAAAAAATTTTCTAAAGTAAAGATTTCTAACTATATTTGTGCTACAGAGCACCCAATGTGACATTACACCTCCTATTCCCTATTTAATACTAT